TACACTTATTTATTTAGCAATTGATGCAGTGAAATTGACATAACGGATGTGTGTGGACGATTCGTTTAATGATGTCAGGACACCAAAGTTCTCATTATGTGTACTGTGAATTTTATTGGATGTTTTCGTTTTATTTTAGGGAGTTTCAATTCAAACTTACTGGAAATTTTGTATAGTATGACTAATTGTATTGTAGTGATATTGATTATGAAAGAGGCAGGCATGCGATGGAAGGTGATATCATTGACTAGGCCTATACACTTCTCCATTGATAATTACTCTTTCTACTGTAGGCTACAATGAAATTTGTCTTTATACGTGTGTCTTTATACGTGTTGTCTGTTCTGAATTATAGGCCTACACAGTTTTAACTGACTACTCCAGTACGTAGGACGGGCTAACACCTCGTAATAGTTACAACAATAAACATTTGACAACAAAATGCTGTCCATAAATCTGTTCCAAAATATTTTTAATATACTGCAAATGGCACAACATTAGAATATGACTGAATTGACTTTCATTTAACTTTAAAAAAAATATCCGTTTGTGTTTGTTTTACCTTACTCAAACAACTACCGGTACAAATCAAGTGAGTGTAAATGGCAATAAATAAATTATACATTACGAAAACACATTTTGCACTGTAAATTACATTTCTTAACAACAATAGTTTGAAATTAAAACGTTTGAAAACAAAATACAGTATTGTAGACAGGGCTGTTCAAAAATACTTTTATTACCCTAAAAATGTTACAACCTTTGTTAGGTGGCGCCTGACTCGACTTACTTTTCCCTGCAAGGTTAACCAAGCTGTTTACAAATACGCACGTCAGCTGTCTGCTACAATTATGATCGGCTCGAGAAAAAAAAAAGCGCTTAGAGACAGACCTTGGGAGAAAGCTTAGAATCTGCCAAATAAAGGATACCTAACTCGATCCAGTTCAATCCGATTTTGTCAGTCATAGAGCCTTCGCCGTAATAAACATCCCATAATCAGTACTAGAGTTAACAATCTTTTTTTTCAAAGAAAACTACACAACCATTAAAATCTCTGTTGGTTGAAGTCTTGTAATTCACCTCCGACTCGATCGATTTCAGTGATATACATATCAAATGGATGCCAATTGTTTACTGAGTGTTTTTATTGCAATACATACAACATCTAGGCTAATAATAATAACTCAATGGGTTGGTCAAAATTTAAACCTTTCTTTTTGAAAAAAATATTATTGATTCTTTGGAGTGAAGATGAATAGATCGGCCTTAAAGTCCTTAAATATAAATAGTTAATAGTTCAAATTAAATTTGGTAATTTTACAAACATTTTAGTACCAAAAACAGCCAGAGAGAAGTACCAGATGGTCTCAGGAAAGATGTTACAATTTTATTGAATATATAAAATATCCTTATTTAACATACTCGTACAAAATATCCTTATTTTTCTTTGAAAATCAATAAAAAAATTATTTTCTAACGCTTTGTTCTGGCGTTACCCTTGATCCAACAAAGCATCTCATATATATATATCCGATGCCAAATTTAAAGCTCTACAATCTTTATAATATATATTATAGTCATATTTTGAGTAATTAAGGCTCAAAAGTGAAATACAAATAAATATTATTTTTTTTATAAATTATAAACTTTGAAAATTAATACTGACCTTGAAACAAATTATATATATTTAATATATGGTATTTCTGAGTAGGCAATTTAACCATAAACATTTTAAAATAACATGTATTGCTCTACCTTAAATAGTTTTTTTAATTACATTGGTTTAAGCAAAAGCTTACACTGTAATTCACGTTTCCCGCCATTTTCCAAGATGGCAGCTGTTGCCCAAGGGTACCAAAAAAGTACCCGGTGGTTTTAGGGTCCACTTAACCTAGATATCACATATCAACAGTAAAAAAAAACTTAATAGGTCAAAACCAGGTTCGGGTCAATTCTGCCGGACTATAAACAATAATTAATTGCAAACATATGTTTTAAAATAAAACTCAATCAAATAATTTCATGTTGATAGCTACAACCACAAATCTTTTATATTGTATACTAGAGGACCCATGCTGCGTCCGCAGTGTTAAAATAAATATAATATCCGAGAAAAAGAATCAAATTTATGATTTTTTATTGAGTAATACAGTATCTCAATCACCTAAATAAAAGCCATTTCACCGAAAGCTCTTATACCAAAATATATATAGGATTATATAATTATAACTGGTGAAATACATCTTAAATCGCTTTAAGAATTCAAAAATTATTCAAATTATTTTTTTTTTGTCAAGTAATACGGTAGGTAAGTATATGCCGATGCTTGATGAGAAATCATGACTTTAATTTGAGACCTCGATCATACAAATCAATCAAGTAGAAGAGCCAAAAACTCGGAAAAGAAAAATCAAATTTAACTCCCATAAGAAATGCATGGGGAGCAAATTTTGTTTATGTATAAGCCGAATAGGATTACATATAAATATATGCCGGCGCTTGATGGTAAATCTGTGCTGCATAGCTTTAATTTGAGACCTAAATCATGAAAATCGGTCGGGTAGAAGAGCCAAACGAACTTGGCAAAGAGAAACCAAATTTAACTCCCATAAGAAATACATGGGGAGGAAATTTTGTTTACGTACATACAAACCGAGTGATACTAATATATAATTATATGCCGATGCTTGATGGCAAATCTGTGCATGCATACCTTCAATTTGAGACCTCAATCATGATGATCGGTCGGGTACAAGAGCCAAATGAACTCGGCAAAGAGAAACTAAATTTAACTCCCATAAGAAATACATGGGGAGCAAATTTCGTTTACTTATAAACCGAGTGATAGTATAGATTATTTTATGCAGATGCTTGATGGCAAATCTGTGCGTGCATACCTTCAATTTGAGACCTCAATCATGAAAATCGGTCGGGTAGAAGAGCTAAACGTAGTCGGAAATAAAAACCAAGTTTTTTTTTAAATATATAAGATTACCTTCATGGTTGTGTTGATTTTGTTAAGTTGACAAAGATATTGGTATGATTCTGTAATATTGATGCTATTTAAACCTCTAAACGTTGTTAATAAACAACACTGATAGTAGTACTGTAATATAATTGTCTTGATCAATTGTGTAGTATGAAATTAGTAACAGGTAATTGAAAATGGAATTAAATTTTCTTCTTAATTATAATTTCAACTCTTGGGGACTGGTTTGCAGTTAATGGCCTGTCCATGAATTTGGCAAAAACTCAACTAATTCAGTTTTCTGCATCCAATATTAACCAAGAAATACAAACTTAACTACACTTCATTCACAACAGTCAATAAATTATTTGGGAATAGAAATCGATTCACAACTAAATTGGCAAAAACACATTAAAAACCTATCAAAAAGACTACGCTAGCAGCAACAATTGTTCTCACAATAATTCGGGATACTACTAATCTAGAAACACAAATAGTAGTATATCAAGCATATTTTTCATCGATTATGAATTATGGTATTACTATATGGGGCTCATCAAGCCAGGTCAAAAAAATATTGATCCACCAAAAAAGAGCTGTAAGATTAATGCCAGAGTCCCCTGTAGAACACACTGTAAAGATTTATTTGGTTAAAAAATTGCAACCTTTTTTAGCTTTTTGCCCTAGTTCAGTACAAAATATTATATTATTTTATGTGATTCAATATACTATCAATAATTTTGAAGGTAAGGCTATTTACTGCATCTTTTAACTTTTAAATGTCAAAGATAATCTAAAAATTTATAATTTCCTCAATCTTACCGTTAAGACAAAAATAAATTTACTTATGGAAAACCAAAATCACTTTATAGTTACTAACTAGCTGTGTACCCGTTCTACGCACGGGGATCTTATAATATTCAGTTGAAACCTTCTTATATAAAGAACAGCAGTTGGTTTGCATATTTTAAGATATGCTGGCCAAACTATTATACATAGCTTCATTTTATGTTGTTTTTTGTTGTTCCGGATCGGTATGACAATCAATAAAAGGTTAAATTACCTCTGTGTCTGCCGGTCGATCCTATAACGGTAGGCTTACTTTTATTTTTACTATCTGATCTCGTTTGCATGGCTCAATCACGTCCTGGTTGAAGTTCGTTCGCTACGCTCACTCACCTGTATGTTGGAGCTCGTTCGCTGCGCTCACTTTCCTTCAGGTTAGCTCGTTCGCTACGCTCACTTGCCTTCAGGTTAGCTCGTTCGCTACGCTCACTCGCCTCCAGGTTGCAAATTAGCTGTTGTCATAAATGTAAAAGAAATAATAGTGCTAGTGCTGCACCCTGTTGGTAATCCTTGTAACTTTAATGCTATTGAACATCACAGAACAGAACCAACTTGTTTAATTGAAACAGCTGTTAAGATTCAATAATTTCATTTCTCATAAGGTTAACATGGGCTTCCAGAAATTCCACGTCAAAAATCGACAAAAACTTGATTTTCAAGGGTTTACTGTTAAATATCTAACTGTCTCATATTCGATGAAATACGTCTAAAACCATCTCATATATGTATAGTATTTGGAAAATAAGTTTCAGGCGGGACAGTGCTATAGTTATTGAGGAGTAGTTGTAATAAAGTGCGTATTTTAGCGTTACCAAGAGAATGACAGATAGACAGACAGACAGACAGACAGACAGACAGACAGAAATTGAGATAAGGTTTGATTCGGTTTCTCTGACCTATGAAATGTAAAAATAACCAAAAAGTTCATTATTCTAAACAATGTACAGACAAAACTCTAATTTTATTTATATAGATAAAGGCATAAAACACAGCCCTAGATTAATATCGCAACTTCTATAACATATAGATATATATATTTTTCCATTTCAAGCATAGCTTGTGTAACAGTTTTTACAGGTTTAACGAGCAGGATTTTGACATCATTTGACATCCCAGACATCATTACATTTTTTATACAGTTGAAAAAGTTATAGAACTGAAAATGATAATTAATCGGTATACGTACTTGGCAAAAATGGAACCAACACCATGAAGAGTGGCTCCAATAAATGTATTTCTGGCAGCGTTTATCAAGCCTTGCTCGAAATCTGTCATAAATGGAGTTAATGTGCCATGTAATCAAATTCTGTCGGACGTACTGAAGCACTCTCATATATACATCTTCAGTCTGGGATACCATCATGAAGTAAACAATGGGAAATACCTAAAAACAAGTACATAAAAGAAATACGATTATATTACATAATTTACAAAATACTATATCTATTGGTCGTGACAAATATAATTTTTTGTTCATATCAAAAATATATACTTCTTAACACCTTTACAATTTGCAAAAATTAACGGAAATGACTCTCTTTAACTGGATAGTTTGGGTCCGCGGAATTGGCTAACTCTGGAACTCGCTAACCCCATGTTAAATGCCCTATCTTCAAATTTGGTCGATGAGAGGAACTCGCTAACTTGTTCGGTTTCGGAATTGGCTAACTCCGGAACCCGCTAACCCGCTCTAGAGCCGGGTTAGCGAATTCCGTCCTCGTACGGAAGTCGCTAACTCGGTCCCTCGGCGGAACTCGCTAACTCCCAATCAGAAGCCTCGCGGGCCGTCCAATGGGAGCCAAGCACGAATATTTTTGGCCAGTGTTGCCGAAAGTGTAGTACCTATATCTTATCGGCACCATAATGTCGTATCCTACGATTAATTAGGAGTAAGAGCAACGTAGTCGATAAAATAAATATATTTAGAAGTATGTTTAACCACAGAGAAGTTCTTATGGTTATTAGGGTGGAAAATGCATTATAGTCTTACCATAGACTAACCAACACAAGTAAACTTTACATCCCATTGTAAACTTTGAAGCTCGTTTTTCGTGTCTAGTTCATGTCCGGTGACACTGATAGCTAGTGTCGACAAAATTGTGTTTCTATTATTTTATAGTTAACTTCATGATTTGTTCCTTACTGTTTGGTTATATAACTAGGGGACGTGTTATTAGTTGTGATTAGAACGTTTTATTTGGTTAAACGAGGTTTTAAATTACTGAAAACAAGAAACAATTGTAAACAAAACACGACATCTAAAGACAGTGCACCAGACAGAACTAACAATACAACTGTCTTCAGATTATCCATAAGGATGAGAAATGTACTAATATAAGGGAGTATGTTTATACGATTATTTTGTCGTACAAGGTTGGCAACGCTCCGAGCAGTGGGCGCGGCCGGGTTAGCGACTTCCAGAGTTAGCGAATTCCGCCGCGAGACAAAATCGAGTTAGCGGGTTCCGGAGTTAGCCAATTCCTGACTGAGACGGTTAACCAGTTCCAGAGTTAGCCAGTTCCGCCACACGACCGAGTTAGCGAGTTCCTGAGTTAGCCAATTCCTACGTCTCAATAGTTTTTATCAGCCCATTGGTTTAACCGGACTAGATTGGCAAGAAGTGGGCGGTACTGAAACGACTGACTTCCAGGGGTGTCTTCCATTTTGCGGTCAGTCCATTTACCGGTCAGTCCATTTACCGGTCAAGTGTGGGGGTGAGGAGGCTCTAGGGAGGGGAGGTTTTCCATTTTGTGGTCAGGTTTTGATTCCTAGAATACCTGACTATTTTGAATGAATAGGTTCCATGCACTAGAGCAGCAACATTTTACATTCTCAGCTAATATATGCCTAAATCTATTTAACTCTCTGAGTAAAGATATGACCCTTTGTACGCTTGTTTTTACTTGTTTTGAAATTTTTAATCCTGTATCAATCGTTTAACAGACAGATTCTTCTTAAATCACAAATCATGTCTGATAATAGGCGTGTGCTCGAATTGATCCGCGGTCAGAGGGTAGTTTTGGATCATTCAAACTGACCCGGGGGTCTGGTAGGTAGATAATAGGGTCGCTTGAAACATGTGATCTGACCCGCGAGTCGTTGAGGGAGGCATGGGAATTCTCCCCGTCCTCTAAGGGAAAAATAAGTTGAGTAATAGACTTAGTATTTTCTTATATACCCACTAATATGATTTAGCCTATTAGCTAATTTTAGCAATTTAATTGATTTTGCTTAAAATAGCTAGCCTATTTTGGTATTCTATTTATATTCAATTCCGTCCAAATATTCTACAAACGGTTTCTACAATTGGCAAAAAGTTACAATAATAATTTTTTATTAAGGTTGTCAATTAATTGTTTTGTATTCAATGAGGATAGCATTTCGGAATTTATTTATTTAATTGCTATTTGGTTTGCATTCAAAAAGTAAACAGTTTTGTACCACTTATAATCTTATCACCATAAAATAAAATAAATAGAAATAAATCGTAAAATAAAATATAAAATAAATCGTGTGTACCCTAGTGGAAGTGATCAATATATATCAATACAAAAATTGTATATTGATACGTATTGATACGTATGTGTATTTGGGCCAATACACATCAATACACATCAATACATATCAATACAAGTAAATATAGGATCCGAGTCATTAGCTTAATTGAAAATAATTTGTAGCTTGTTAAAAAACAATTTTTAATTTGTTTCAACACATTGAATCACATCTACTATGCACTAAAAATAAAATAAAAATGAAAAAGTAAAAAAATTCTTGTCAAAAAGCTCTAGGTGTTCCCGAGATTTGAACCTGGGACTCCAGCATGGTAGCCCGATGTCTAAGCCATTACGCCACGGACGCTTCATGTCTGACTAAGTAATGATAGCCACTTTGAATGCGAGAAGCTATGTTAGGCCTCATAATTAAACTTTGAAAAGATTTTTCAATGGCATTTGTGTCATTTCAGGCTTGTACCTATATGCTTTAACATGTTTCAAAACTGTTTTATTACCAGTTCAAACTGTTTTCTTGCTACTTGGGTGATGTGAATAGTGTGTCAATACAATTTATTTTTATTGATTTCTAGAAATAAGGAATTCAATTCAATAATGAATTTGTGAGTAATTTTTATCCCTAATAACCCATTAGGAAAGAAATTGTTAAAAGTTGTCGAAAGTTGTATTACAATTGTTGTATAACAATTTTAAAACATTTTGATTTAAACTTCATATTACAACAATGTTGATATAAGATTGAAACAATTTTAAAAATGTTTAACAATAAGTTTTTTGCAGTTGAAAAAAATAAGTTTCAATACGAGCTGTAACTGTTTTACAACAATTTTAAAATTGTTTTACAATCAGTTTTTTGAAGTTTAAGAAAATTAGTTTTAATACAAGTTGTAAACTGTTTTATAACAATTTTAAAATTATTTAGCAATCAGTTTTTGGCAGTTTAAAAAATAAGATTTAATACAAGTTGTAACTGTTTTACAACAATTTTAAAATGATATATTTTAAAATTATATTGAGTTTTAGGTACCTCAGCTAACGTCTATGACCTAAAACTAAAGTTTTTCCTTTTTTCAAAAAATAACATTTTTATTACTGTTTATTTAACCACTTTACATTGATATTTTGTATAATCCATAATGCTCATTTGTGATACATTTGAGAGATATTTTGAATTTTATTTACCCGTATTGATGTCTATTGATTTATATTTACATCTAACATATTTAAAAAATATTCTCTATTGATATCAATGAACGATTTGTTTGCTCTAATGATCTATATTGATATATTTTATGTTTATAGATGTCTAGTGATATGTATTGACTAAGTTTTCAGTGATGTCTATTTGTTTGTATTTACTTGTAATGATATCCATGAACATCTATTGATATCACTAAGCATCTAGTGATATCAATAGATTTTTTCTATTGATTTCTATTGATGTCTTCCACTAGGGTATATTAGTTTGTCTGTCAGCATCTCGTATACACATTACCAAACCATCCTTCCAATTGTAACGCACCTTTAGAGAGTAGTTGATCTCTGGCTACAAATGTTTACTTTTAAAATATTCAATTTTACTGCCAATATTCACTGAGAGTTTCTATGAAATTCTTCAAGTCTTAGTGCTAAGACTACGAGCGTTCAATAGGTTCAGAGTACAAGTAACTATATCAATGATTAAAATATAACATTAATACTATTATATCCTAATAATCTCACTCAAGTCAACATCTTACAGCAATATCAAGATTTTTCAAACTGCATACTTAGTCTCGACCGGGTAGAGTTTTAGGAATTCTTCACCCAAATAGACATCGTTACGCAAGACATTTTTACAGAGAAGACCTAAGTCAAATTCCTTATAGGGTGAGTGTACCTGTGTATACCAACTCCCTGTGAATTACCTCTTCCTATATAAACATCATATCGCATGGTTTGGATAGTGAAAATAAAAGGTTTTGGACAAGGTAGTGTAGGCCTGCAATATGCGTGTACATGAAAATATTATATTTCATTCAATATTTGAATGGTTTAACACGATCTGGAATATTCTATGAGGTCTTATAGCTTAATGAATTAACTATGGAAGTGCGTGATAGTAATCTGAAATATAATCTGGAATGCTCTAGAAAGAATATTCCAGATTTGTCTAGATTGTACTAAAATTATCGATGATCTTAGAGTATTTTACATCATTCAGGAGTGTTTTTTATTAATATACACACCAAACAAGGTAGGTATGTAGGTCTTGAACAGTATAAGATATTCCCCCCAGTAATAATTTTATAATCGCCATTGTATTTTGGTATGGGTATCGCGTAGTTCGCCACTAGTATTTTAACACATTGTCAATACAATATAGACAACTAGGGGTCCATAGCAGCAATTACTGCTTTATAGTTATGTGTACAAAATTAAAAGAAATGCACATTTTTTTACACATTTAGTCGCGGTCTTCACCCAACACGATACATTCAAACACCGCATTAACATCTTATATACTAAAAAAAACTTTTGCCAAACTTATGACAGCTAGCCTGACCAAATACCTAGCCTGAGTTTGGTTTTACTGGGCCGAATTACACGCGGTTGGTACCAAATGAAAGATATTTACCTGTAGATGTGCAGAATCCCTTTATAAATTGAATTAAGCACACAAATAAGCACGAAAAGTGAATTCGAAATTTAAAAAAATTAACATGGGTCTTATGGGTTGCCATGGTGATGACGAAATAACAACAAAATATAAACAGAAAACTAAAACAAATGGAAGAAATTCCAACCACATGTTTTATTTACAGCGTGGGGAGTTTTAAATTTTAAAAAGCAACAAGAGACAAAACAAATGGCACCAACAATAATTTACAACAAACGATGTATTATTTTTAAGGATAGTATAAAGAACACTGTAACAAATAGAGTAAACACGTGAAATCTCACGTAAATGTTAGCATTCTATAGGATTAACATAGACGCTTTGAGAGCCCTGGCCTTGGAGCAAAGCACTCACCAGCACCACAGACTGAGCTCAGCTTAAATAACATACAAAGATTAAAATGACAAAAAACCTTCAAAATTCGTTTAAAACATAGGGTGAGTTATAATCACTCAATAGAACTATAAAGCAATAAAAATTATCATTGATGTATTTCTGTTGGTTTGTACTAAATAACCATTAGTTTTTACTAAGTGATAGATTTTAAAATACGATAGCAATATTTAAGCAAAATCAACTAAATTGCTAAGATAAGCTATTAGGCTAAATCATATTAGTGGTTGTATTTAAGGAAATACTTAGTCTGTTGCTCAAATTATTTATCCCGTAGAAGCCTGGAGAATTTCCCGTCCTCCTTCAACGACTCGCGGGTCAGATCACATGTTTCAAGCGACCCTATTATCTACTTACCAGACCCCCGGGTCAGTTTGAATAATCCAAAACTACCCTCTGACCGCGGATCAGTCTGTATGCAGCCGATAATAGCCTATTAAAAATGGCCGTTTATTTCAACAAACTAGTCTATATATCAGTTAAAAATCAAATTAAAAAATATATGCTTAAAAAAATCTATTTACATATAAACAACTCTTTAACTTTGAAAACTGTTTTGGAAAAAATATGATGTATCTATACAAATTAACAATTTATTCGCGTTCCTTAAGATTTTATCTAAATAAAAAATATATATTGACCTATATTTGAAAGTGGTATTTAGAAAAATAATTACAATACAATTTTTTTTTTATTTTTCCAGTTCATAAAACAATCTTACTAACTATAGATTAAAATGAAAAATTTTAGTCGGGGGGGGGGGGGGGGGGGAAATACATTTTAAATTTGTATTTTTCATAGTTTTCTCGATTTGTTAACACAATTTTTTACTAGTTTTATGTCATTTATGTGCTAGGCAGGTGATTTTAAATAGCCAAAGTTAAGAAAAACAAATGCAAAGCAGCTCTAACTTTTTTTACACCAACAGCCGTTACAATTAAATTACAAACATAAAAAGTAAAACAATTTATTGGCAATTAATTTCTAGATTTTTTTAAATATAAAAAATCATTATTGAACTATGCTTTTTCTTGCCCAAAGAAACGTGGAGTAAAAATTGTGATGTTCTACAATCATCGCGTCTTCTGACGCCAAAGTGCGTTTATCATTCTTTTAAAGGATTAAAACTTATTTCATTTCTCTTTAAGAAAAATGTTCAAATACACATAATACAGTACTACTTGTGATTTGAATAAGTTTATTGCATAGTTTGGTCACATACTATTGGTGCATTGGTGTACAACATACCGACGCGTCATCGGCCTGGCTAACCACTCTGAGTCATCAACCTGGCTCACATGTTCTCGGGATTTTAGAAATATGTGACCGCAAAATGGAAAACGTTTTTTGACCCACCCCTCCAAATTTTTGGGTTGACCGGTAAATGGACAATTTTACCCTTGACCGGTAAATGGACGGCCGCAAAATGGACACAACCCTTCCAGGGGAGACGGACAGCATCCCAGATCTTTGTTTGGGTTAATCCCCTGATTTATGGCCTGAGGGTAGTGGTCACCGGAGGAGGGGTGGGGAATTGAGAATTCTGAATCCCACCGGAGGCGTTAACTTTTTGTCAAAGATTTCACTTAGAATGCAATTACTTCTTAACTGTACATCTTTTGTTATAATTTATAACTTTATGACCAAAACTATTTTTCGATTATTAACCTTTATTAGATTTTTTTATTATCAGCAAGTTTGGTTGGTTTGGTTATATTTGGTTAAATGTTAGGCATTTGTAGTTTTATTTTATGAACAGAACTATTTTTTTTTATTAGTAAACCTTCATTCGATTTTTCAGTATCAGCAAGTTTGGTTAGGTTATGACGGTTAAATTAAATTTAAATTTAACCTACAAACGATACGTTTTGACAGTGACGGTGATAGAGCTAACAATTTGCCGCGAACAGTTCGGCTATGCACGGTATGATGCGGAAGCGTTCGACACTAACCTAAAACTGACAGGTCAACAGACCGTGATTAAGAGGATTACAGCCTCGGTCATGTGCCTACACCCGACGTCCAGTGATCACATGTCTAAATACAATACTCTGCTAAATTGAAATTGAATATCACAGTAATTGGTCTGATTTAACGAGTTTTTGGGGACATTGGCTTAACTTGAAAAACCGGACTGGCCTTTTGGTCCCGAGGAGTCCGGATAAGAGGGAGTCTACTGTATATTATGTTACAACCACCACTCAGACGATGAAAAATAGAAGTGCTAAATAAAATGTAATTATCAATAATTCAGGTTTAATGAGCCTATACATAATTACAATTTAGCTTGCTTACTGTTTGAGTAAGTACTCAATAATAACCATTTACAACCTATGTTAAGGCATAAGGAGCTTTTGAGAAAACCGTAAGCTGTACACAGTATCAACCGTATGCTTAAAGTCCATAATGGGAAACTTCTGGGTTTGCAATTTGCAAACCAGCTTTAGATTTGTATTATGCAATGAATGCTGGAGCAATTTAATTGATGCTGGACCCTATGATATGAGACAGTTTGCTTGACCCTTTTGAGCTACTTCACGCCATAGGTTTTGTTTATGATTGTGTTTAGCAGATGAATTGATGAAATTAGACGTCTTTATAGTAGGAAAAAGTCTAGCTAACTACAGAGAAAATGAAGGCTTATTCTCAAGAAAGCTTCTTTGGGAAGGGATGGACGGAATACGGAATCTATAATAATACAGAAAGCAAAGATATCATATAAGTATCTCCCATCAAACCTTTTCATTTGTCATGTGGTCTAAATTTGATAATGATAAATTAACAATGTTATTCAAATAACATTTTTTCCTCGGTATTGACTAGATTATTTTTCTGATTTGTGGAATAAATCAATTAAAATATTTTTTGAACATTTGTGTGTTTGTGTTGTGTTTAATTTGACAAAACCGTGGAGGTGACCTATTAATTTAAGCAATTTTGCTTATAAAATTATAATTCTCAGTTATTTATTTTCAATTACAATTTTGTACTAAAATATATTTCTGTTTTTGTTTTTGCTTTTGCCTTAAGTACAGGTTTAAACCTACCTTGCTATTTAATGATAAATTCCTGGGAGGGAATTTATGAATTTTGGGAATATTGCCAGAAATATTTTCAGGGAATATTTCCTTGATTTTACATTCCTGGGAATTTTACATCACTAAGTAGGGTTGACTTATACTATGTGTTATACAATAATCATTGTATAAGCTAATTTATTCGGTAAGCCGAATACAGATTATTTAAATATACATAGTAAAATACTAGATGTTATAATTTATTTTTTAGAGCAGTCTTTAAAATTTTAAGTTTGTTTTAGTGCAATTCTATCTTCATATTTCTTATAACGCATTGAAAATCATCTTGCTCTCAAAAACATTTCAGATGAAAAAAGCACAACTTCTTTGCGCTTTAATTGGCTCTGTTCACTACAATAATCTTTCAGCATTAATTGGACCTGAAAAACCTTTAAAGACCTAGATTTTGCTACCATGGTCAAATCATTATCAGACATGCTCTCACCACACAGAAACGTTGTAGTTACACAGCATTACTTTTTAAATACTTATCAAAAAGTAAATCAATCCACATCCTGAGTACATAGCTTCACTACAAAAAGTCTGAATGTGAATTTACAGTTCAGTGTGAATGTACAAAACAAGATTCAGTCTCAGATATATTTTTAAGAGCTCAATTCATAAGTCTACGGATTGAGATTACAATACTAGTGTTATTAGGTATTTAGTCACCTTTAATCCTCGTACGATGCACATACTTCATGTACTGGCTAAGGATCGGTTGCATCCCGTTGGCCTGCACATATACCGGTATGTACTCGAACCCTTGGTCGATTTTGTAGTCTGGTACAGTAGTAACACCAGAGACATGGTCATTTTTACAGCTCTTTTTACGGATGGGTTGGAGTTGATCGCTCTTGTCAGGCCCAATCCTCGAGGCCTTTCTCCACATTGCCTGAATGAAAATCATTGTTTTTTTTTTTTAATTTGCTTGCATTATTGGATAGCGGTTTATCTGTTAGTGCTTCGTTTATCAGATTAAAATAGCTAACTATAAGCGGCAACAAAAAGCTGTGATAGACAATGAGCACTGTAAAAAAATACTACATTTATGGGGTATAGTGTGATTTGGGTATTTTATTATTACGTGCATAATTCATATGTTTATTGACATTACCAAATGTTTATAAAAAGTAACAAGTTTCTTTAAAAAAAAATAATGTCTGGTTATCGGAGTTGAGTGGTAATAATTTTAGCGAATTACTGATCTAGTCAATGACTAAGTTGGAAGGAACTAATACAGTATTACAGATATGAACCAATGTCTGTAGTTAGGCTATGTCAATAACGTAAACACAACAACACAACTTGACCAATTGAGCTGATTTTTTCATGTACATAGACAATATAACCACAACTTTTTTTCCTTAAATATAAGTACAATAGTTATTAATATTATGCCTAAATATAAAGTAATGGACATGCTTACTGGTGATGAGAGGAAAAGCACTCGAAAATATTGACATTCCAGCGAACCTTTCCCTCAAGGCCGTCTGTAACACCATTTTGAAGTCAGTCATGATTATACCGTTTGGTGTAATTCTGGAGCTAAATCTACTAACTTGGCAAACAGAAGGTCGTATGCTTGTTTGGTTTTCTTTTCCATAAGAACGAAAAATACGGGATATGCCTGTTAAATAAAATACACATCAATACATACACATCAATACATACACATCAATGATTAAGTAAGTGATATACAGTTGCTGAAAACAAGTATGTTTAACCATTGACTATATGGTTAACGTATGTCCATCTCTCTGCGTTTAAAGGTACTGTGATATTGTCATACAGCTTTGTGCTAACCTGTACATTTTTTCTGGTGCACAATTACAGCTTAACAATGAAACTTTTAAGTATTTAACTGTTTTTGTTTTTAAATTGGTTACTGGATGTGTGATGCAGTGGGCTATTAGCCATGGGATACAGCTAAATACTTCTTAACTGTACATCTTTTATAGATAGAGCTAACAATTTGCCGCGAACAGTTCGGCTATGCACGGTATGATGCGGAAGCGTTCGACACCAACCTAAACTGACAGGTCAACCGACCGTGATTTAGAGGATTACAGCCTCGGTCATGTGCCTACACCCAGTAACAGTGCCTAATTAGATCATAATCAAAGTGGGAATAGTTTTCGATTCATTGCATTGCATTACAAATAACATAAAAATATGGGGTAGAAGGGGGGAATTGGGTACTAGGTTTTGTAAAATGTACTTTGTATGCTAAAACAAATTGAATCGGGTCCGCGGAATTGGCTAACTCTGGAACTCGCTAACCCCATGTTAAAAGCCCTATCTTCAAATTTGGTCGATGAGAGGAACTCGCTAACTTGTTCGGTTTCGGAATTGGCTAACTCCGGAACCCGCTAACCCGCTCTAGAGCCGGGTTAGCGAATTCCGTCCTCGTACGGAAGTCGCTAACTCGGTCCCTCGGCGGAACTCGCTAACTCCCAATCAGAAGCCTCGCGGGCCGTCCAATGGGAGCCAAGCACGAATATTTTTGGCCAGTGTTGCCGAAAATGTAGTACCTATATAGTATCGGTACCATAATGTCGTATCCTACGATTAATTAGGAGTAAGAGCAACGTAGTTGATCAAATAAATATATTTAGAAGAATGTTTAACATTATTCTCATGATTATTAGGGTGGAAAATGCATTATAGTCTTACCATAGACTAACCAACACAAGTAAACTTTACATCCCATTGTAAACTTTGAAGCTCGTTTTTCGTGTCTAGTTCATGTCCGGTGACACTGATCGCTAGTGTCAAAAAAATTGTGTTTCTATTATTTCTATAGTTAACTTCATTATTTGCTCTTTACTGTTTGGTTATATAACTAGGGGACGTGTTATTAGTTGTGATTAGAACGTTTTATTTGGTTAAACGAGGTTTTAAATGACTGGAAACAAGAAACAATTGTAAACAAAACACGACCTCTAAAGACAGTGCACCGGACAGAACTAACAATAAAACTGTCTTCAGCTGATCCATAAGGATGAGAAATGTACTAATATAAGTGAGTATGTTTTATATTTGAGTTTATTTAGTAGCTTATTGGTATGCAAAAAGATAAAAATGTACATTTAATTTGGATCTTTTACATGTTATGAAATATCTATTTTCGTAGTCCGCCATTTGTTTCTTTTATTCGAATAAATACAATTTTTTGAACTTCTGCAAATAAAATTATTGAGTTCGTATTTTATATACTGGGCTTGTAACCTTGAATCATAAAATTGAATCATAAATCATGATAAAATTTACACGTTGAACGTCAGTACAGAAATACATTGTAGTGCGGTAATGTATTTTTAAATAGAGCTATTGAATTTAAATAAATATTTATCAATACAATATTATAAAGTGGTAGGCCTAATTTATTCATAGATTGCATTAAAAATTAGTCTATGCATAAATAAAACTTGTAAATTTCTTTTATCGTAGGCTATCAGTGTAGAACCCGGGTCATCCTCTTAATTTTGTTTAATTAATATTAATTTTACAATATAAAATAGGTTACGTACCTTTACGTCGTCAATCCTAAGTTAGTCTTATTTGTGCGTGTTAAATGTTATATTTGTGTACTTTGACGACGACATTATGTTCAAGTAATTTTATGTTTGACAAGGCTTGAAAATGAAACGTCAGTTTCGAAACTAGTCGCTGCTAAAAAGACTAACCTAGGATTGACGACGTAAAGGTACGTAACCTATTTTATATTGTCTTAAATCAATCCTGGAGGCAATGCTGAATACATTAATTTTACGTCTTTCAGTAGGCCTACTTTTTAAAAGTCTGGAGTTTTTCTCCAGGCTGGTTCTAAATCGACCCAGGCGTTATTGTTTGTTACAGTTCTTATGAATGGTGGCCATATAGCTAAAATTGCTTGATCTTATCCAAAAACAAAGCTATTGTCTATTGAGTAGCTCAGTACCGGAGAACGGTGAACCGAGCAATGGCTTGGTATAGTTTATTTCGATTGTGAAACCAATATAAAGGAAACCCAACTAAGAAAATCCGTCAATTCGTTGATTAATGAATCGTGAATTAAAATAACCCTGTCACGTTTTATTATATGAGTATTATATCTTCTCCTATTATTTACTAGTGGTGCTTAGGTGTACAATCTAAAAACTGTTTTAAAACATGTAACATTATTACAAAACAATTCAACACATTTTAGAATTAGGCAACTATTTACTAGTAGGCCTACAATGCTTTGGTTTAAACTATTAGGCCTAGATAAAAGCTTAGTCTATGTCATATTTGTACACCTAAGTTGGACGGTTCAACGACAAACATTTAATTTTAAATCTATGAATTAGTTATGAAAGTTACGATGGTTGATGACTGTATTAATTAATGGTTTTGGTTTATTACGACATTACGATTAAATTTGTTTTCCGTGTTTGAGAACTAGCGTGTATTTTAGCTTAATTTCGTAGAGGTTTAATTATTTAGTACCTTTTCAATATTTTCCATATTCTATTATTTTTTTTATACTTCCTATGGCATTTATATTTAAGATCGAAATCATAAACATTTAACTGGCCGTTGTACAGTTAAATAAAAAAACACTTTTTCATGATTTTTTTATAATTGTCTTTGAATTACTTTGGGCTAGTTACCTGTTAAAAGAGATATTGATAACAAAAACAATGACATTTACTGTATCTTCATTGACACTGATATTTTGAAATACGGCAAATGTACGATTATTTTGTCGTGCAAGGTTGGCAACGCTCCGTGCAGTGGGCGCGGCCGGGTTAGCGACTTCCAGAGTTAGCGAATTCCGCCACGAGACAAAATCGAGTTAGCGGGTTCCGGAGTTAGCCAATTCCTGACTGAGACGGTTAGCCAGTTCCAGAGTTAGCCAGTTCCGACACACGACCGAGTTAGCGAGCTCCTGAGTTAGCCAATTCCTACGTCTCATTGAATCACTTTACAGCTTTTATGCCTTCATTTAAAGGCTTCCAATAGACATCTTTTCACTTATTTTCAGACCTGCAAGTTGTTTTGTTCTATTAAAAATATATATATATATTTTTCATACCCAATTACCCCAAAGGGGGGAATTACGTACTACACCTATTATACATTAAAATGACCTATTAAAAATTCTGGGAAAATGGGTGTTATTAAGAAAACACAAATAAGCATTTTAAGACAAGTTTTAGTCTCTTATCATTGTTTTTGACAATTTTATTGAGCGTTAAAGTTAATTTTTGAAAACTTTACAGTTTTTCAAAGATATTTCTTTGTAATAAATCCTTATAACCTAGGGTTGTAAAAATTGTATTAATTGTAGCTTCTTAGACATACTTAAACATAAAACAAGTTGGATTATTCTAACTTATTTAAAAAAAAAGTTATAAGAAGACAAAACTTTGGAAAAAAGTGCCCATTTCTGCGCTTTCGAACAAAGTTAAACTGTTGTTCGATTAAAGTAATCACCAGACACACTTAAATAAATGCATCCTTTTTATAAGTTACTGTAGGCTACTTTTTCAAAGTCCATAAAAATATGGTTTTTGCTTCATAACTAATTCCAAACCTAATTTGTTAAATAGTTTTTGACTGTCTTATGGTCTTCTGCCTCTAAGCCGATGTGACGGGGGAATTGGGTACTAAGCCATAATTTCTTTAATATTCAATGCACAGAAGTCATACCAACCTATACTCCACGCCAAAGCTGGTGGTGGCTGGGGGATTAGGACGGCCAGGTCGGTGAGCATGTCCGACCTATGTAGTCCTACCTGGCCGTCCTAATCCCTCAGCCGCCAC